ATGTAGGTCATCTTTCACAACATGACTATTATGGAAGTGTTTTGCATGACTAAACATGTATAACCTATATTGGATTGCTTGCCTTCTCAATGAGGCAGGGTAGGGAGAGAAGAAGGGAGAGAATTTGGAACTCAAAGTTTTAAAAATGAATGTTAAAAGTTGTTTTTACATGCAACTGGAAAATAAGATACACAACAATGGGGTATAGAAATCTAGCTCACCCTACAAGGAAATAGAAGGGGAAGAGGAAAAGATAAGAGGTGGGGTGATAGAAGGGAGGGCAGATTGGGGGAAGGGGTAATCAGAATGCATACTGTCATGGGGTGCGGGAGGGGAGATATGGGGAGAAAATTTGGAACTCAAAATCCTGTGGAAGTGAATGTTGAAAACTAAAAGTAAATTAAAATAAAATCTTAAAAATGGATAATTTTGATCATATTAAATTAAAAAGTTCATGTACAAATAAAACCCAATGTAGCCAAGATTAGACAGTCTCTCAGATAAAGGTCTTATTTCTCAAATATATAAAGAACTCTGTCAAATTTATAAGAATACATGTTATTCCCCAACTGATAAATGGTCAAAGGATATGAACAGGCAGTTTTTCAATGAAGAAATCAAAACCATATAGTCACATTAAAAATACTCTAAAATCATTATTAATATGAGAAATGCAAATTAAATCAACTTTGAGATATCATCTTGCACCTATCAGATTGGCTAAAATGATAGATGCCTTTCAATTGAGGAATGGTTAAACAAGTTGTGGTATATGATTGTGATGGAATACTACTGTGCTATAAGAAATGATGATTTGGTTGATTAGAAAAACATGGAAGGGGCAGCTAGGTGGCGAAGTGGATAGAGCTTTGGGTTTAGAGTCAGGAGGACCTGAGTTCAAATCCAGCCTCAGACACATAACACTCACTAGCTCTAAGACCCTGGGCAAGTCACAACCCCAATTGCCTTACTTTAAAAAAAAAAAAAAAGAAAAACATGGAAAGACTTGGACTTATGAAGGAAAATCCAGAGAAAGAATTGATAAATAGTATGGTATGGTGTTTTATGTATGTGTGTGTGTGTATATATATATATATATATACACACATATATATGCATATACACACACATATATGTATGTATATACATATATTATGTGTTTATACACACATATGTATTTGTATTTAATTGTAATATATACACACAAATATATATGTATACATATGTACATATATTCATGTTTAATTGTAGCCTTCTCTAGGGCAGGGTAGGGAGGGAGGAAAAATAGTTAACAGCAAAGAACAAAAGAAAACTTAGAAGGAAGAACAGAGAAGCTAGGTAGCTTTGAAAATACTATGTAGTGTTTATTACATAGTTTTTCAAAAAGTAAACAGTTTGAAATGGAAATTTATGGTTTTATATTGAATCCTTTATGTTGTGCTGTGTACACAGAAACTTTTTTTTCTTGTTTTGTATTTAAGTTTCAAATGAATAAAAAATTACAAATATATTAAAAAAATCCAGGCATTTACTTGTAAGAACAGGATAAGACATCACTTCCCCCACTCCAAACCTTGAGGCACATTTCTCCACAAGTACATACAGAATCCAGGAGAAAGTGGGCTCAAGCTTTGAGTACATGATATGGCAAAGAGGGTAACCATAACTGCTGAAAGTCCTTTTCTCCCCTTCCCCGAAGGCACGGTGGACGTAGACATTTTTGCTGGACAACTTGTAGCCATGAAACTGCCTTTTTTCAGTGAGTCTAGCTTGTCAGCTCCCAACTCAGACATTGCTAAGAAGTCCACACCGTCCAACCTTTTAAAGAATGGAACACCCATTTTGTTTCCCTCACTAGGATATAAGTTTGAGGGAAAGGACTTTTCCTGTCTTTATGTACCCAGTGCCTAAAAACGCTCTCTTGATTACCATCAAGAGCAAAGCCAGGTGGCCTCTAATTGCAGGTTTCTTGAATGAAAAGCAAGAAGTCATTTAAGGAAACCCAGTGGTTAACATATTCCCGTTTGAAGAAGCAGTTATGCAAGTACAGCATGAAGTGGTGAATATAAGGAAGCTTCATCAGGTTTATCAGGTGTTCACTGATGTCAGGACTGCTGTTAGTTTAACTCTTATCTTTTGTAGAATATATGCAGATCTAAGAAAAAAAACTCTCATGACTCTCTTGGGGGGGGTCATCTAAAGAAATAGGCTCAAAATGGTTAGAGATAATATTGGTTTATTAAGCACTTTCCTTAACTGTGCAAGGTAAGTAGCAGCGTAAGGTATTATGATCCCTACATGACAGCTATTATCAAATATCGTAAGGTTTGTCATTTGTAAGACAGAGGAACTAGATGTGTTCTAAGGGGCATTAGAACATACAAAGGCAGGAGCAAAGGACAGAGGTTGCAGAGGCAGATTCCAACTTAATAAGAAAAATTTTGCTAATCCTCCTAACTACCTGAGAGTAGAACAGTAGGCTTCACAAGGTAGTGAGCTCCTCATCACTTGACATCTTCAGGTAGAGGCTACATAGCCACTTGAAGAACACATCTTCAAGTGGAGACTAGATACTAACATGGGGTATGTTGCAGTGAGGGTTCCAGTTCAAGTCAGGGGTCAGCTTAGATGACCTTTTAGCTTTTGTGAATTCTGGGACCACTGGCATTTTTAAGAACCCCTCTTTTGACACTGCCTTCAGTTCTCTACTGAATAACTTCAATGACAGCAAAAGCTTATCTTCTTAGGGTGATTAAGTTAGTCAATAAGCATTTACTAAGCACTTACTATGAGCCAGGCACCAGGGATATAAAGTTAAAAACAACACATCTGTCTTCAAGGGGCATACATTCTAGTAGGGGAGGTGGCATGTAAATCACTAGATACATAGACGGCATTAGCATCTGGAAGATGAAGGGGGAAAGGTTCGGATCTGAGTCATCCTAAAGGAAGTCAGTGAAACTAAGAGGTGGAGGTGAGGGTGCAGAGCATTCCAAGTGCTAGGGACCGTCAGTGCTGAAGCATAGAAATGGGAGATGAGTGTCAAATTTGAGGAACTGCAAGTAGACCAGTGTAGCTGGATTGAAGGGGTAATGGAATAAAATGTAAGAAGACTGGAAAGGTAGGAAAGAGTAGATTATAAAGAACTCTTAATGCCAAGGGACTTCATATTTGATCCTGGGTGATAATAGGGAACCACTAGAAATCAATAGTGGGGGGGGGGAGGTGAGCATGGCACAGAAAGTGAAGTTAAATGGTCAGACCTATACTCTTTACAGTTGAGTGGAAGATGGATTGGTGTAGGGAGACTTGAGGAAGACCAATTGAGGCCATTGCAATAGTCTAGGCATGAGGTGATAAAAGCCTGCACCAGCATGGTGGCTTTGTGAGTGGAGAGAAGGGGGACAAACATGAGCTGCTATGAAAGTAGAAACTATAAGATTTGGCAATGGATTGCATATGTGGGGTCAGTGGGGAGTCAAGGATGACACTGAGGTCACAGGCCTGGCTGAAAGGGAGGTGGTGCCTTTGACAGTAATAGGGAAGTTCAGAAGGGAGGGAGGAAAAAGTTCTACTCTGGACATTTTTGAGGTGCTTATGAGATATTTAGTTCAAGATATCTAAGAGGCATTTAGAGATATGTGACTGTAGCTTAGCATAGAGACCAAGGATAGCTATATAAAGCTGCTAATCATCTGTACAGAAATGATAACTGAGTTGATGGGAGCTGATGAGGTAATAGTGAGATTCTATAAAGCAGAGGTTCTTATCTTCTGTGTGTCATGGACCACCTCTTAGAATGTTTTTAAATAAATGAAGGAAATGCTAAACTTCAGTTAGAGGCTGGTGAAAATACAGAAATAATTTTCCCACCCAAGTTCATAAATGCCTTGAAATCTATCCTATCTACCTTGAAGGGTCCATGGACTCCAGATTAAGAACCAGATATAAAGAGAAAGGAAGAAGACCCAGGACAGAACCTTTGTGAGCACCCATGGATAGTGGGCACGGCATTAATGAACTAACAAAGGAAGCTAAAGAGTGGTTAGCTCGACAGGAGAACCAGAAGAAGGCAGTGTCACAAAAACTCACAGAAGTATTTAGAAGGTGAATTATAGTATCAAATGCTGACAAGAGGCCAAGGAAGACCAAGATGGAAAAAAGGCCATTAGATGTGGCAATTAAGAGATCGCTGGTAACTTTGTAGAAAGAAATGCTAGTTGAATGATGACTTAGTTGTATAATACAGGTTTCTGATAAATGACATGATGAAGGGGTAGTAGTCTGCATATCAGAAACATGGGATTTGAAGTAAAAAAAAAAAAAACCTGAGTTTCAAACTACCTGTGTCACTCTGAGCAAGTGACTTAATTTATTTGGTCTTAGTAAAATGAACTTGACTAGAAGGCCTCAAAGGTTGCTTCTAGCTATAAAGCTTATGAGAAATGGCTATAAATGGGATGCTAAAGGTAGCTCATAAACTGTCAATGAACACAATTCCAAAAATGTTTTGTCCAATAGCAGCAACATTAAGAGGCAACTAGGGGCAGCTAGGTGGTGCAGTGGATAAAGCACTGGCCCTGAAGTCAGGAGGATGAGTTCAACTCTGGCCTCAGACCAAACACTTGACACTTACTAGATGTGTGACCCTGGGCAAGTCACTTAATCCCAATGGCCTAACAAACAAACAAAAAAAAAAAAAAAAGAGGCAGCTAGGAGAACTAGGTTTGGAATCAGGAAGACACATCATTCTGAATTCAAATATGGCTTCAGATACTTACTAGCTGCGTGACCCTTGGCAAGTCATTTACCCCTGGTTGCCTCAGTTTCCTCATCTGTAAAATGAGCTAGAGGAAATGGCAAACCACTCCAGTATCTTTTCCAAGAAAACCCCAAATGGGGTCACAAAGAGTTGGACATGACTGAAATGACAGAACAACAATAGCAACATTAAAATAGATAGCTTTTCATGGTGACTACTTGGAATGAAAACACTCATGTGGATGTGTAAGACTTGGTATATTTCTTTTTTAAAAAAATCACTCATTACCTCATCATTACATTTTCATATATCACAGAATTTTACAAACGTTCAACATTAAGTCATGGCTGGCAGCCAAGACAAATCACGTAAAAAGCGGTATGAGTTTCACTACAAGTTACCCAGCACTTAGGAAATAACCAAAATGCCTTCCTTGAAAACCCCTCCTTCCCTTGTGACAGACTATGTGTACATGAGATTGTCAAAGCTTCTGGTTCTGAATCATATCAAATGTACTCTTTCCAGGAAGAAATTTGTGGTGATTGATTGTTGAGAAAATGACGCAGTGAACCTTATTGTACCTCCACTGGTTATAACAGAGTGATTGAAAAATCCACCCCAACTCTTCCTCCCTTCCGTCCCACTTTAAAGCACCAACTAAGCTATGCTACATCATTTCCTATCCAACTTCATTTTGAAATGCAACTTCCTTTTTACTTTTAATTTGTGTTTCTAAATCATCATCTTCGGAACTACCCCAGGAAATTAGGCAATCCACTTTAGTGGAAACCACAGCTACATGCAGTCTGTCAGGAGCATGAGAGAAATTGATGACATTTAGATCTAAGAGTACTGACTTGGCTAATTAGCAGAGCCTACAACTAGTAAGAGTCATGAGACATGGACTGTAGATACAAGTTTATTACTAACTAGCTGTAATAGGCATGTCAACCTCTCTGGTTAACTCATCTCTAATATGGCGATGCCTGTCCTAGCTACCTCAAAAGGTGGCTGTGAAGGCCAAATTAAATGTCACAGCACTTTGAAAAGATAAACTTCTATTAAAACTTCAAGCGTTAGTTAATAAATATACTTTTTAAAATGTCAGAAATAGATGAAGCTGGTGATGCAGCACTCTCATTCTTTCTCAACCAACATTAGGTTCATCTTGAGCTATTTCCCACGGGAATAAATGTAACAGCAGAACTGGCTTAAAAAGCTGTTACTTGATATCCATAAATTGATATCCTATGACAGTGAAGCATCAATAAAATGTAGCCAGGCTTCCTAAATTAGAGCATAGCCAAAGTTGCTCAAGACTGAGGGTGTTAGTTTTGCAATAAAATAATTACGCCTTTTAAGACTCAAGGCTACGAATTTTCCAGAGACTTCTTTTACAGAAATGTAACATATAATACTCTATTAGTTTTGCTAAGGTTCTTAGTTGAGCATGTGAGAGATATTTTTGATTGTAGATACATTATTGTAGCTTATAAAAGAGAGCTTCACAAAAAAATGGACTTGTTCCCATAAGGATCCTGTACTCTAAAATAAGCACCATAATGCCTACGTACATCTAGTTATATTGTGCTAGTCCAGTAAGTAATACAAAATAAAACAATCCTACTAGCCTCATAATCTTATTCTCCCTATCTACTAGTAATAGCTCTTTTGTACAGGTGTAAACACTACCACTTAACACACATTTGGTAAACAGTCCCTGATAGTCCACAGGAAAGAATTGGTTTTACATTCAGAATAAAGAGAGCAATGGCCCCACCTGCTGACAAAGGGATAAAATAGCAGGAGGAGATTTACAACATTAGAATTTCTACCTTCCTGTTTTAGTCTCATAGAGTCCATTAGCCCTATTGAAAAAAGTTTGAGATATATGCATAAATGTCATAATTATCATTAGCAAAAACAGATCAGAGTTCTCCAAGATATTCCAATGATCTCTTCAATGACCACATAGCTTTATCACCAATTCTTTTTAGTTTTAAATCAGTTGTACAGCTCCAGAAGCCACTAAAGGAGCAATGGTTTTGTATCTGATCAAGTGTTGAGAGCCTTCTTCCAAGTCAATCACATATTCACTGGAAAAAAACAAACAAACAAAAACAATACAGATTTGTAGCAAGAATAGAACACAGCTGTTGTTCTTAAGAATAGAACTTTGTTACTGTGATAACTAAGTTACCTACCTTTGTTCATCTGTCTCTGGCTCTACCAAAATGTTTTCTTGCCTTTCTTTCACTCTCAGAAACACATATGAATCTAAATCAGGTTTGGGAACTGTCAGAAAAACAATGAATGATTAATGGTAGGAAAAGAGGAGACAAAGCCTAATGAAGACAACATGAACAAACATCCTTCCCATATTCCATATACAGCTCACACACTCATTCAACAAGTATTTACTGAAGTAAACAACCACAGTAACCTAGTGTTTAATAAACCCAAAGACCACAGTTTCTAGGATAAGAACTACTCCACAAAAACTGCTGGGAAAACTGGAAAACAACAGGGCATAAACTAGGTATAGACCAACATCTCGCACTGTGTACCAAGATAAGGTCAAAAAGGGTACATGATTTCGACATACATGATGACAAGGTGAGCAAATCCAAAAAAGCCAGAAGTAGTCTACCTGTCAGATCTATGGGAGAGGAGAGAGTCTGTGAACAAACAAGAGATAGAGAGCACTACAAAACGTAAAACAAGTAATTTTGATTATATTACAGTAAAAAGTTTTTGCACAAACAAAACCAATACGATCAAGATTAGAAGGAAAGGGGGCAGCTAGGTGGCGCAGTGCCAGCCTTAGACACGTGACACTTACTAGCTGTGTGACCCTGGGCAAGTCACTTAACCCCATTGCCTAGCAAAAACAAAAACAAAAACAAAAACAAAAAAAAGGATTAGAAGGAAAGCAGAAAACTGGGAAGCAATTTTTACAGCAAGTGTCTGATAAAGACCTCATTTCTCAAATATTTAGAGAACTGAGTCAAATTTATAAGAACATAAGCTACAGCTGATAAATGGTCAAAGGATATGAACAGGCAATTTTCAGATGAAGAAATCAAAGCTGGTTATATCCATATAAAGAAGTGCTCTAAATCACTTTTGATTAGAGAAATGCAAATTAAAACAACTCTGAGGTACCACTTCACACCTATCAGATTGGCTAATATGACAGAAAAAGAAAATGATAAATGTTGGAGAGGATGTGGGAAAATTGGGACACTAATGGACTGTTGGAGTTGTGAACTAATCCAACCATTCTGGAGGGCAATTTGGAACTATGCCCAAGCACTACCACTACTAGATCTACATCCCAAAGAGATCATAAAAAATGGAAAAGAACCTATATATGCAAAAATATTTATAACAGCTCTTTCTGTGGTGGCAAAATATTGGAAACTGAAAGGGTGCCCATCAACCAGGCAATGGCTGAATAAGCTGCTGTATATGAACGTAATGAAATACTATTGTGCTATAAGAAATGATGAGCGGGCTGACTTCAGAAAAACCTGGAAAGATTTGTATGGATTGATACTGAGTGAAGTGAGCAGAACCAGGAGAATACTGTATACAATAACAGCCATGTTGTGCGATGACTAACTTTGATAGACTTAGCCCTTCTCAGCAATGCAAGGATCTAAGACATCTCCAAAAATCTCATGATGGAAAATGCTATCCACATCCAGATAAAGAACTGATGGATTCTGAGAGATCAAAGCGTACTTTTCTCACTTACTTTATTTTTGCATGGTTTTTTTTCCCCTTTTGATTCATTTCTTCTTTCACAACTGTGACTAATATAGAAATATGTTTTACATAATTGCACATATATAACCTATATCAAATTTGCCTACCATATTAGGAAGAGGGGGATGGAAGGAGAAAAATCAGCAACTCAAAATCTGGTAAAAATGAATGCTCAAAATTGTTCTGACATATAATTGGGGAAAAAATACTATTAAAAAACCCCAAAAAACAAAAAAATATTTACCGAGCACTGATGGGACTAGGTTCTATAAAAGATATGAGCAAATGGTTGAGACTCCAGTCCCCTTGCACTACCCTGAAAGCAATGCCAAATAAAAAATTAAAAGGGAAAAGAAACCCTCACATGAAACAATTTCCAAGAAAAATAAGAGAAAAAAGAATCAAAGTAATGAATAAGCAAAAATGTCCTAAATACAATGAAGAAAATGGTATAGGGTAAAAGCAGGAGAAACAACCAGAAGGAAATAAGACTACAATAACTACACCTCTAAAACAGAGAATGGACATTCTCAAAGAACCTTCAGAATGGTTCAGAATGACTAAAGGAAGATCTGTCATAGAAAAGATGGCTGAATAAAGAATTCAAGAAAAAAATATATATATATATGTGAAAAGCAACTTTGTAGAAATTTGATGAGGAAAATATCCATAAAACATTGGATACTCTAAAGAGCAGAACAAGGGTGTATACATACACATGTGTGCATATAAATATATATGTACATATGTGTATATGTGTGTGTGTGTGTGTGTGTGTGTGTGTACACCCCCCCCCCACATTATTAAAGAGCTTGAGTCAGGTCCAGCCCAGAATTATGCTCAAAATCACTAATAATCATAGAAGTCCAAATTAAAACATTTATGAGACAGCATTTCACATCCAAATTGGCAATGATGGTAAAATATGAAAATACTCAGTTTTGCCAGATTTGGGAAAAGAGCTGGTATAAGTGAGAATTAGTCCAATGACTTCAAAAATATAAAATTATGCAAAAAAATGTATAAAATTTTTCTTATTTTAAAAACATGACTAGGCAGATAGAGGTGAACATTACCTTGTCTCATAATTAACCACAAGAATTACCAATCAATCCTAGCCCCATGTACCACGTGCATTCTTGCCTCTGCACCATTCCTCTGCCTAGAATGCCCCCTCTGTTCTATTCTACTCCTCTCTGCCTATTCAAATCTTGATGATAGGCTATTGAGAGAGAAAGTTAGGATTACCAGGCTTTTTTGGAAAGATAATAAGTATCTGGGCTGGGCTTACAGTTCTGACACTGTAGTCTTGGGGCAAGATCATGGACTCAGCCCATAGACTTAGGCAGGCATATCTAGCTAAATAATGTGGGCAAAGAGTTAACCAAGGACAAGCCTACAATTCTGTCCCTTGGAACCTGCATAGCCTTCCAGCTATGGGTTGGGGGCAGCAGCAAAGCAGTGTAGTAGCATGTTGCCTAGAATTAGGAAGACCAGAGTTAAAATCTTCAGACATTTACTAGCTGTGTGACAATGGGCAAGTTGCTTAATCTGCATGCTTCAGTTTTCTCAGCTGTAAAATGGGGATAATAATAGCACCTACCTCCTAGGGTTGCTGTGAGCATCAAATAGGATATTTGTAAAATGCATAGCACACTCTCAGTGCTTAATAAATGCGGGGCTCCTTCCCCTTCCCTGCCTACTAAAACAACCTGAAAAACAGGTTAAGGAGATGCACTCCCTAAAAACCATGAGAAAAAAGGAACATGCATATCATATTTCAAATCCATTGGATACCTATTGAAAGGAATCCTACAGTGAAAACTCCCAGGAGTATCATAAGTAAAACCTGGTTAAAGAAAAACAAAACAAAACACTGCAAGTAGCTAGAAAGCAAGATTTCAAGTACAAAGGCACAGTTAGGATCATGTAAGATTTGGCAATTACCACCATAAAGGAGAAGAGGAATTGGAATAAAACACTACAAAAAGCAAAAGAGGAATTTAAGCAAGAATAACTTGATCAGAAAAAATGGATCTTTAAGGATGGGTGGGGGAGGAGGCATCACTTGAACCTCACTTTCATCTGAACTGGTCAAAGGAAGGTAGAACACACAGAGGGTTTGGTATATAAATATATTAAACTCAACAGAGAAACAGGAGAGAATAGGGAGAGGATTTTTTTTATTTGGAACTTCATTTGTGATTTACTCAGTTTCTGCAATTAGGTTATTTAAATTCTCTATTTCTTGTTCCATCAATCTGGGCATTTTATATATTTTTCTAACTAAGTTTTCAGTTTTCAGTTTTATTGAAATATAGTTAAACAAAAGTTTCTAATAATTTCCTTGATTTTTTTTTTTTTTGCTTTTGCTGTGAAGTTAAAAAAAAAAGAGATCTGAGAAACAAGTATTTTTCACTGTTTATTCTTGAAAAGGGCGATTTCACTTACCTGACCTTAGGAGATCCACCTTCTGCAGATTAGGAGGCATGTGCCTTAAGGCCACATTTTTCAGATAGGTTTCCATGTTGGCCATGTACCTGAAATGTGTAAGTTTGACTCTTATGATGTAGGTAGTAGGAAAGAATTGCCATTTACCAAATTTATAAGCAATGTACTCCCTGGGTACTTAACAGGGCTTCAGAGTTCCACAAAACCTTAGTCTGATTAGCCAGGTTATCTTCTGACACATCTAGCATCAGGGTTGGAAGGGCAGGTAACTGAAGACTATAATACAATACAGTGACATCATTCTAAAAAGATAGCTTTAGGGAAGGATAAAATCCAGTCAAATCAAACAATGATTGTTAAGAACAAAAAGGAGTTTTTAGCAATATAGAGAACAAAAAGGTAAAAGGAAATGGATTACTTCTTAGAACTGATAAGATGACAATTTTGGAGATAAGGTAGAACTGAACACGTATTTTGTTCGTTTTCAGTAATAAGAATGATCCTCAAAACAAGAAGGACAAAATTTAAAAGGTCAATGAGAAAATGAATCTTAAGACTGAGGAAGATGAGGGGAGCACCTGCCTTTAGCAAGTTCAAGTCATTTAGCTGGCCAAGATAAACTGCAATATATCCTAGAATATCCAAAGAACTTGTACATATATAATTGCTACACTCTTGTCAATGACTTCTGAGAAAATGTGGAAAACAAAAGAGATGGAAAAATGGAAAGTGATTATTTCAAACTATAGAACTGTGAGCTAGAATTCACATCCGGTGAAATTCCAGCAGTACAGGAGTGGGTTACAAGGACTTGGGGAATAGTGATCACTACTAATCAGTGTGGACTCCTCAGTATTTACACTATATATATCCTTAATGTATAAGCTTGTTGGCATGTTGTCTCCCCTACTAAAATGTGCACTCCTTTCTTTGTGTCCCTAGGATTCAGCATCATGCCTATCACTGAGTACATATATGCGTGCTGACTCAAAAACAAGCTATCCTAAAACAAACTCATTTTCTTTCTTGACTTCATCACTGGACTGGGAGATCAGAGAAATGCTATACTCACTGTATATCTGAATTTCAACAAAGCATTTAACAGACACTCATAATATCTTTGCATAGAGAGTTCAACTAGATTATAGAACAGTAAGGTGGCCTTGGAACAGGTTAACAGATTTGACCTCAAGTGTGTAGATGACCAAAGGGGCAATGATAACCTATGTCTTCAGTCTGGTTCTGTTCAATGTTCTGACCAGCAATTTGTATGGAGACATAGATGGCAAGTTTATTAAATGTCTAAGTGACATGAATCTGAGGGAGATATGTAATATAATGGATGACAGATGTGAGGTCTGAAAATATCTTGGTAGTTTGGAATAGAGAATCAAACTAATAACATGCAATTTAGCACTGGGGCTCAAAATATCAACAGTACAAGATGGAGGAGAGCTGGCTAAAAAGTAGTTTTTTTTTGTTTTTTTGGTGAGGCAATTTAGGTGTAAGTGACTTGCCCAGAGTCACACAGCTAGTGAGTGTTATGTTTCTGAGGCCAGATTTGAACTCAGATCCTCTTGACTCCAGGGCCGGTGCTCTATCCACTGTACCACCTAACTGCCCCCAGTAGTTCATTTTTTAAACCCCTCCCTACCAAGTCAGAGTTTTAATAGACTTCCAGCTCAAATGTATTATGGGATGACTGAAAAAGTGACTGACTTGATCTTAGGCTGCTTTAATAGAAGTACTTATTTCACAAGATTGCTGGGAGTAAAGCTCACCAGGTATATGAATTATTATAGTTTCCAGAACAAGGGAGATGATAGGCTCAACCTAATCTCTGTTGTTCAGATTACATCTAAAATATTGTACACAGCTCTGAGCACCAAATTTCAGGAGAGATAAAGCATAAAATACTCTACAAGTCCTTCACGACGTGTATGAGAGATGGATGTGGTGGTACATTCTCCTGAGGAGACTGAGGCTGATGGATCACTTGTGCTGGGAGTTCCAAGCTGCCAATTAGGTGTCTGCACTAAGTCTGGCACCAATGTGTGAAGCCCCTGGGAGCAAGAGGCTTCCAGTCTGCCTAACAAGTCAATATAGATTCCCAGGTTGGAAACTGAGGTCAACCTTCCACATAAATCCACAAGTAGCCAAGGAGAGCCAGTCAAAAAAAAAAAAAAAAAAAAGAACACTGGATTCTCAAAAGCTATGCCAGAATGAAAAAGTTTCAGGTACCACAGCAACCCATGAAACATAAAAAATAGAAAATGGTACTCCATCCTGTATAGCCTGTTTCTGTAGCAACAGTGACAGACAAATAGGACAATGTTTTTAGACGATAGGGGAGAAGGGAATAAACATTTATATAAAGCCTACTTAGCACTGTGCTAAGTGCTTTTTAGAAATGCTTTCTCATTTGATCCCCACAACCACCATAAGAGGTTAAGTGCTATTGTTATCTCCATTTTACAGATGAAGAAACAGAGACAGAAATTACCCAGAGTCACACAGATAATTAAGTGGTCAGAGGCCAGATTTGTACTCAGGTCTTTCTGAATGTAGGCCTATTCCTCTAATCACTGAACCATCAACTGCCTCTACAAAGCTAAATTCTATTGTTAGTTTTTTAAGTTAATACAATTAGCCTGGAGAAGACAGAACGGACATGAGAACTGCCTTCAATTACTTAAAGAGTTGTCAAATGGAAAGAAAATTAGTCTTAATCTGCTTAGCTATAGCAAGCAAAATTAAATTAAAAGCTAACCAATTTCAGACACCAATTCAGGCTTAACATCAGGAGAAATTTCCCAACCACTGTATCTATCCAAACATGGAATGGACTACCTTAGGAAGTAGTGAGTTGCCCTTCAGTGGAGGTCACCTGTCAAGTATACTGTAAAGGGGACATTTTTCAGGTATGGGTCCAACTAGGTGGACTCTGAGGTCTTTCTAATCTTGAGATTCTATACCAGTAGGGGGAGTACTATAAGGACACAGAATCTACTGAAGCAGCAAAAAATAGACAAGAGTAGGAGGATAACAGGAGAACTCCGACTTTTTGACTCAACTCATATCACTGAGTAATGAGCTGAAGCATGAGGATTTTTAACCTAGAGAAGAGATGACTTAGTTAGGAACATGATGATGATTATATTCAAAAATTTGAAAGGTTATCATGTGAAAGAAGAATTGAACTTGTTCTGTTCAGTTTACACAGTGAGTTACTAGAACCAAATGAGTAAAAGTTAAAGGGGCGTAGATTTCAATTCAACAGAAGAAAAAAAAACTTCCAAAAATAGAATAGGTTGACTTGGGAAAGTAATGAGTCTACTAGTAGCCTGATTACTATGTATTTTCTTATCAATGAAAGTGCCTCTTCAAGTAGAATCTGGAAAACCATCTGTCTGTAATGTTTTAGTCAGGACCCACACTGGGTAAGGATTGGACTGGATGACCTCCAAAATTCCTTTCAACTCTGAGATCACATGACTTACTGGTCACTCACTCTTTGGCAAAGGCAAATTCTTCTGGGGAGAGAATGGAAGGTTCTCCTTTAGAACGTGTCTTTTCCTTTTCGAGGACATGAGGGAAAAACTTCTCTATCTGCCATGGAGAAGAAAAGTTATTACTCACCAAGCTTCCACTATCAAATAATCTCTTTTCAAAAATAGGCACACCTCAATTTATCACGTCTATTAGAAATGAAATGGCCAACATTAACCTTCAATAAACTATACACACGCTTATAACAACCGAAGCCTTTTTTGGTCACTGAGAGGGATAACTGGTAACATCAGAATCTTCTTAAAGTGTTTTATTTATTTTTATTGGCATCAATATAATCTAGATGATCACAGGGCTCAGAAGATTGACTATGCTATTAGACATTTCTTTTCTATCTGAAACGTCTAATTCTCTAGTCAAAACTGTCTCATGATCTACTTGATCTCTATTGTATAGTGAATCCCATTTAATTTTTGAAGCCTGCTTCTCCTCTACTCATATAAATCAAACCACTCCCCTTTCCTTTAGTGCAAATAACTCTGACCTCCTATTCCACTTTGTTCATAAAATCTTCATGTATGATTCCTTACTTCCTAGAAAACCTGATTTTTTCCATTAGCAGCACTTTCTGCTCCTGAGGACTTCCACAGACTATGATGTACTTCTTAGGGACCTTTGCTATACACAACATTGACCTAATGAAGATATCTTAATGTCTAACCTTCATCAGTCGACACCTCAAGTAGCTGCTGAGGACGTAGCGGATTCTTTCTACCTCCATATGGTGGATGCTAACCTTCAAATCACCCTTCTTCGCTCGTCTGAGATTCTTTTCCTATTGAAGAACAAATTCTAATCAAAACATTCTGGCTACTAAGTGTAAAGATATTTTTGGCTACTTGTAGTCTACAAAGAAAAGCAGCAATAAATTTAAAACACCTCTGCATTCTAGGACACAGGAAGCTGTTTTCAGGCAGAGAATCAGAGAATTGCAAATGTCCCAAATTTGTATTTGCTTTGGGATTGTATTTATTTGTACAAATTCTGAAACCCAAGCATCAACAGAAAGAAATGAGTCACACTTTTAATAATTAACAATGGCTAGCCACAGATATTCCCAAACAAACAATCTTAAAAATGATGATAGAGGAAACAGGGGCAGTACTGGAAGGATGTAAACATTAGCTTGGAAACAGCTAAATATCAGATCTCTGATGTCATCCCGCCCTTTCGCCAATGATATTCTGAAAGCAATCCTGGCCAAGGTTACCTATACTAACCAAACTGAAACTGGAGGCTCTTACCATATGATCCAGCTGCTCTATGACACATTCTACAATTTCACACTTGTTCTCCAGTAGCTCAGGGGAAAATTTTTCATTTAACCAGGCCTATGGAAGAAAGCACAATAACATGAGTACTCCTGAGAGAGCATGACATGGGAGAGTGACAGTCACAAAGGAGTAGAGGCAACTTTGAAGCTGTGTGTCTGCTCCCATGCCATGAAAATCATAGAGTCCTTACACAAGAAAACTATTATTTTCCTAGCAGTTGAAAGTACTGGATATACTATAAAGACAAAACTATGTTTAAGAATCCTTGGATGGATTTTCCTTTTTCTCCTGGTTTTGGCTTGAAAGCTATGTTCACAGATCTCACATCTGGCATACACAAAAATGACATTACCTTTGACTCTGACAGTAATGCCACCTGTGTCCAAATAGTACCTCTCACCAAGTAGTAGTGACAAAACTTCTACCTCTAGATATTTATGCACTAGGCCCATTTCCTAATAAGCTGGCATATCCCATCATGAAGTGGTGGCACTACTCTTGTTATCATAGTTGAAATAACAATTTGTATATTTACATATCTTTTCATCCACAGAGCTCAAAGAATTTTAGAAACACTTCTTCATTCATCTTCCTCTACATCCTTATCATGTGAATAGGAAATGGCTATTATTAGCAGGTCTTACTCGTAAGAAAACAGAATGAAAGGTTAAACAATTTTTTAAAGGCCTAAGAATGTGACAGGGACCACATTGGAAATTTCATCCCCTAAATATGCTCATTCATTCATTAAGATAGAGGTCTTAACTCTGTCCTAAGGGACATTTAGCATGGTTGGTCTACATTTATATACTTGACCATCCATAGTTGACTATGAATATCTACATGGATTTTTCTATTACAAAGAATGATTAAAATTTTATTTTAGCTTGTGGATTATATGAAGAATAGACCCAATTTCTTCCCTTTTTCTTCTTCAGTAATCTTTTGGACATCCTTTTCCATTTGGCCAATTTTGCTTTTTAGGGAATTCTTCTCCTCACTGGCTTTTTGGACCTCTTCTGCCATTTGGGTTAGGCTATTTTTTAAGGTGTTATTTTCTTCAGTATTTTTTTGGGTCTCCTTTAGCAAGCTGTTGACTTGTTTTTCATGATTTTCTTGCAACACTCTCAGTTTTTCCTCTACTTCTCTTACTTGCTTCTCAAAATCCCTTTTGAGCTCTTCCAAGGCCTGGGACTGATTCATATTCTTCTTGGAGGCTTTGGATGTAGGAGCTTTGATTTTGTTGTCTTCTTCTGGTTGTATGTTTTGATATTCTTTGTCACAAAAGTAAGATAATATAGTCTGACTCTTTTTGCGCTGCTTACTCATGATCCTGGCCAATTACTTGAGTTTTAAACTTTTTGTTAAGGTAAGAGTATGCTTCCAATGTGGAGAATGTACTGTCCCAAGCTTCGGGGGTTTGTACAGCTGTTTTCAGAGATACTTCTAGGGACCTGTAAATTTTCAGTTCTTCCAAGGTGGTATGATAAGGGGCAAGGTGTTTCCTCTCCACTGCCACAACAAGCTCCACCATGCCAGCACTCCTCCTTACCCTAGGACCTCCCCTCAGAACTGTGACCCAGATCTAAGCATGGGCAGAGCAAGAGATTCCTGCCTCAGCACTGGCAAAGAGATCTCTGCAATCCCCCTCTGATCAGCCACTCAATTCCCCCTCAGTCTGTGGGCTGGAAGCTCAGGAGGCAGCCGCTGCCCCAGAGGCTGAGCTTGGCACTTGCAGCTAAGACCTAGCTCCTCTCACCGCAGTACAGACTTTTCCCACTGACCTTCTAAGTTGTCTTTGGTGTTTGTGGGTTGAGAAGTCTGGAAACCACCACAGCTGCCCGTGATTTGGTCCTCTGAGGCCTGCTCCAGGTTTGCCGCTGTGGCCTGCACGCCCACGCCGAACTGTGCTCCTCTCCCAGCCTGACACGATATACCTTTCCGATTAACCATCCAGGTTGTCTTGGGCTGGAAATTTGCTTCACTCTGTCTTTTTGTGGGTTCTGCTGCTTTAGAATTTGTTTAGAGCCATTTTTTTTACAGGTATTTGCAGGGGTTTGGGGGAGAGCTCAAGCAAGTCACTGCTTTCACTCCGCCATCTTGGCTCCCTCTTCCCTTTTTCTTAACCGAATTTCTAGTCTTCCAATCAATACCACTAACAAACATTAAGTACATAAATGCTTATCAACATTCTCCAAGAATTTATCAAGTACTTGCGGTAGTCTAGAATAGTACTACAAATTTATCAAATTAAGCAAAAAGATGAAATTTATCTACAAATAGATTATAGTCTACGAAGATACGCTCAAGGATAGAGTAAAAAGAAAACTGATTTTTATCAAATAATTTTAAGACTTATTTCTATAAGAGTTTTTTTAAAAATTCAATTCAACAAATACTGAAGGCTCTACTATATGCAACTTCAACTGAAGTCCCCCTTCTCTGCTTCACCATGGCTAGAAATGACCCTGGGTTCTTGAAAACTATGCCACCAAGTCCGAGATCTGGAAGGCCTTGGACCAAGCTTCATAGATTTTAATGACAGGCCCAAATATGTGGGTGAACGAGGCTCATGACCAGAAAACTTTATCAGGCAATGATGAACTAATATTTTGGCTACTATAACTTATAAGGGTAGAAGTTACAATCTGATTTAATGGAGGTGGCACTCACACTGATAGAATAAGAGATCTGAATATCAATGCAGTATATGATAGACATGGAGGGATAAACAAAGCCAAGTAAGACTTAAGTCTCAGCCAATGAAGCATGCAATTATATGAGGAATATAAAATACTAAGAAAGGATCACTTCTGCTTGGGGTTTGGAGGGTAGGAATTAGAGAAAGTTATATGAAAGAGATGGCATTTGAGCTAAGCCTTTAAGGATAGAAGGCTTTCAACTAGAGAAATGGGATGAGGGAAGTAGAAGAATGTTATTTTTTTTTTTCTGTTTTTTTTTTAATTAATTTATTTTTAGTTTTCAACAATCACTTCCATAGTTTTTTGAGTTTTAAATTTTCTCCCCCTCCCTCCCTAAGATGGTGTGCAATCTGATGTAGGCTCTACATATACATTCCTATTAAACATATTTTCACATTAGTCATGTTGTAAAGAAGAATTAAAACCAATGGGAGGAATAGTATGTTTTGATCTGCATTCACATTCCATAGTTCTTTCTCTGAATGTGGAGAGCATTTTCCAGCATGAGACTTTTGGAGAAGTCTTAGATCTTTGCATTGCTGAGAAGATCTAAGTCTATCAAAGTCAGTCATTGCACAACATGGCTGTTACTGTGTAAAACATCCTCCTCGTTCTGTTCACTTCACTCAGCATCAGACCATACAAGTCTTTCTAGGTTTTTCTGAAGTCAGCCTGTTCATCACTTCTTATAGTACAATAGTTTTCCATCACATTCATATACCACAACTTGCTCAGCCATTCCCCAACTGATGGGCATCCCCTCAATTTCCCGTTCTTTGCCACCACAGTCAGAGCTGCTATAAATATTTTTGTACATGTGGGTCCTTTTCCCATTTTTATGATCTCTTTGGGACACTGCCTTAGAAGTGCTATTACTGGGTCAAAGGGTATGTATATTTTTATTGCCCTTTGGGCATGGTTCCAAACTGCTCTCCAAAATGGTGTAGAAGAATGTTATTATTCTGAGCTTAGGGAACAGCATAGATGAAGTCATAGAGTTGGTAAAGCATGGAATGCATGTCATGCATGTTGGGAGTGATAAGGACTGATTGTGAAGGGAAATAATGGTAAGACAGGATTGGAAAAAGAGTCAGATTATAGAAAAGCTTAAATACCAAACTAAAGGGAATGAATTTTAGTTGGAAGGCAATGGAGAGCTACTGGAATCCTTTGATCAAGGGAATAACATGATTAGACCTCCACATTAAAATAATGTGGCAGCAGTTGAAGAATGGATTGGAAGTGAGGACACTGGTTCATAGGATCATAGCTCAGGAGTTGGAAGGAACCTCAGAGGCAACCTCATATACATTAAGAGACCAAGGGCCCAGGAAGATTGAGTGACTTGTCTAAGGTCACAGGTATATAATAGATGTTGAAGGTGGATTTGAACCCAAGCTCTCTGACTCCAGTGCAAGTGCTCTTTTCATTGCACTGTGTTGCTTTGAAATATTAAGACAAGACAGAATGAGGGTCTGAATTACAGTAATGGCAAGATGCTAGAGACATTTCAGAGGCAGAATTAACAGGACTCCCTGACTAATTTGATGTAGATGTCAAAGGAAAAGGCATCAAAGATAGATTTCAGGTAATGGTATCATTAATAGAACTCAGGACAGCAGGAACTGTACATTTTGGGGGAAGGAGCCAAAACTAATTGGACATGCTAACTTTAAGATCCCTGTGTGCACTAGGCAGATGAAAATACAGATCTAGAACTTAGGAGAGAAGCTGGAGCTAAAGATAGAGGTATGGGAACCAAATAGTATCATAAAAGATAAAATTACAGAAGTGGTGATCTGCTAGTCATGATTAGGTTTACAGGGAGAAAAAGATTAGGAAGTGATAAAGGACACTGAAGAGGAAAAGAGTGAGTGTTCAGGAAAGGGATATGTGATAAAGAAGGAGGCAGTAGGACAAAGTTTTTAAAAAGTTAAGAGGAAGAGGTACAGAAATAGTTCCAGAAGATGAACAGTGGGGAAAAAAGGTTATGGGAAAAACATGAGAGGAAACAAAAGACTAACCAAGAATATAACTGCCAATGTTCTTTTAAAGAAAAAAATACAATTTGTCACTGTTTTCCTATCCTCAGTTCTCTCTAGCAAGCCACAATAGATGTTAAAATAGGACAATAGATGTTAAAAGATGACCAAGTTTTTCCAACAGTAGACCATATAATCAGAAATCCATGTGTATAGACTTCATAAGTGCTTTACAATTACTAATCAACACAAGCCTGGCAGCTGATGCTTGATAGCAGTCAGATAAATAGTAACTGAATGGTTAGACCCTACCAGCCTTTTAGTTTACATATGCTAGGTAATCAGGTAAAAGTTTTTGCTAAAAAACTCAGGTGAGCTGAATAAATTTGGCTCACAGACCTGCAAGCTGGATGGTTAAAGGCTAAGGCATGGGAGCTCTTAAGGTCTCTACAGCCCCAACTCTGCACTTACCACAAATAACAAAACACTCTGGGTTTTTGCTTCTCTTTAACTGTTTCATCAAATATGTCCAAAGGTGTTCCTCACTATTACCTTTAGTAGGGAGTAAGACTTCCTTTAGTGGGGCAATGGGGAGTTGAAAGATTTTGTTAAATATTAGAACACTCCTTGGATTAGACTGTCCTTTGTACTCTTGAGATTAGCCTTGATTCTGTTCCTGTTATTTCTAGGTTCCACAAATAGAGTATGTGATAAAACTAAGGTTTAATGCAGAGTTCCCTTTGAGAGGCTTACCTGCTCCAGTTTTCCAATAAGCTCTGCAGGAGTTAGTACCACCTCCTCACTATCTCCATCAGAGTCTTGCTCAGTGAAATCTGTCTCTTCTGTCATTCTCTGAAAGCTGAAACCCAATAAACACATTAAAGTATGCCTTTCATCATATAATAATAAGAATGATAGCTCATATTTACATAGCCAGTTTACAAAGCACATTCCTCACTTATTACTCCTTGAGGTCTTACCCCAGATGAGAAAATTGAACATCAGGGAGGTGAAATGACTTAGCATGATTGGGTATGGAGATTTAAAAAAGACCTCAGAGATAATTTCACCCAACCCCATCACTTTACAGATAAGCAAACTGAGGTTTAGAGGTGAAACTTTCCTAAGGTCACACAGGTATTAGATAACAGAAGGAATTCAACACATATTCTCTGATCCCAAATCCTGTGCTTCCTTCCCTCCCAATTTTTTTAAAAATCACTTATTATCTTTCTCTACCACTCCACCTGCCCTACTGTACAATTTTTAAAATCCCTTGTAGTAAATATATCTAGTCCAGCGCAGAAATTTCCATATTGCCCATGTCCAAAAATGTGTTTCATTCTACATTGTAAGTCCATCACCTTTTTTCTGGAAGGAGGTAGGGGTGTGTTTTCATCTTCAGTCCATTGAACTCATGGTGTATCATTGATCAGAGTTCTAAAGTCTTTCAAAGTTGTTTTTCTTTTTTTCCTTCGGCAAGGCAATTGAGGTTAAGTGACTTGCCCAGGGTCACACAGCTAGTGTCAAGTGTCTGGTCTGAGACCAGATTTGAACACAGGTCCTCCTGATCCAGGGCCGGTGTTCTATCTACTTCGTCACCTAGCTGCCCCCCAAAATTGTTTTTCTTTATAATATTTTTGTCATTGTATAAGTTGCTCTCCTAGTTCTGCTCACTTCACTCTCCATCAGATCAGAGAGGTCTTTCCAGCTTTTTCTGAAACTATTTCATTATAGTATAATAATATTCATATACTATAATTTGTTTAGCTATAAAGAAACTTGGGGTACAGGCCTAGTAGTGGTATTACTTGATCAAAGAGTAATAATAATAGCTAACATTTATAGAGTCCTTACTATGTGCCAAGCACTTTACAATTATTATCTCATTTGAACCTCACAACAACCTTGAGAGGTAGGTGCTATTATTATCCTCATTTTGCAGCTGAAGAAACTGACACCTCTAGCATCACATAGTAATGTGTCTGAGACCAAATTGAACTCAGGTCTTCCTGATTTCAAGCCCAGTGCCCTATTCACAGCTCCATCTAGCTGCCTACCTATGCATAGTTTACTTTATAAGGTGAAATTCCAAACTGCTTTCCAGAACATCCGGACCAATTCACAGTTCCAACAACAGAACACTGGTGTGTCTATTTGCTTTCTACTTAAAAAAAAAATCATCTTTGCCAGTCTGATGGATGTGAGGTGTAACCTTGGAGTTCCTTTAATTTGCATTTTTCTACAAGTACCCAGTACTTTTCCCAGTATGCCATGTAGTTAATATTTTGATAGCTTGTATTCATGTCTTTATAAGTCAAACAATTTCGTTTGATCTTTTTAATAAATATGAAGTAAGTAGTTCCAATATTGTTAAGCCTTTAATAAAGGGGTAAACTCAGGCTCTGAGCGCTTAACCTACTTCCTTAGGAGCACTGGGCGGTTCAGCCCGGTGGCGGCGGGTGGGGGGATGCGGGGCGGAACCCTGGTCTCCATCCTTCCTCCTCCCCAGCAGAACAGGCACAGCTGGCCCACTTAATCCACGTTCGGGACATTTGCCTGCAAGGTCCGTGCTCTTTCCACGAGACCAAAAGGACGTTCTTAAGCTTTTTTGTGTCTCAGTCCCCTGTGGCAGTCTGGCAAAGGCTACAGCCCCTTTTCAGAAGAAGGTTTTTAAATGCATTAAGTAAAATGCATGTGGTCATAACGCAAACCAACCACACCGAAATGAAGAGGCGACTTTTCCCCACCCACCTTCACGGTGTCACAGAGTCCGGGAACCCCAACTCGGGCGCACCCACACTGGACGCAGACCGCTCAGGGAAGTGCATTTGGAGGGGCAGGCGCCTGGGTTTTAGGGTCTTTGGGCCTCCGGCTCCAAGCCCGGCTTGGACCCTCGTTAGCTGTGCCATCACGCGGACGCCTCCACTTGCCCGGGTCCCCCTCAGAAAAATGGGTTACCTACCTCTCAGGGTCTCGGGGAAGTTCCAGGGAGATCCCACGGCTGAAGGGCTGGGCAAAGTTTGAAGGCGCTAAGGAGGCGTCAGACGCTCTTGTTTTCCAGTGAGGGGCCCGGCGGGGGAACACCTGGATCAAGAATACCTGGATCAAGGGTGCTGCCCCCAGGGGTCAGCCCAGGCTGGCTTGGGGGTGGGGGAGGGGAATCCCCGATCGCTCCTCCCTCCGCCCGCCGGCCCCGCCCTCGCCTCATTTCCCCCCCCCCCACCCCGACCCCGGCTCCGGGCTTCATTCAGGGCCTGGGTCCTGATTCCGAGACCAGGGGAGAAGAAAAAGAAGCGGCGGGGAGGTCAATGATGGGGTAGAGGGGAGCGGGGGAGATGGTGAGAAGGCGGGGAGGGAGGGCGGCGCAGCGGCTCTTACATTACCGGCTCTTCTCCCGACAGCTCCGTTTCCCGCCTTTCCCTCCAAAACTTCCCTCCCAGGAGCTGACGTTACCACGCCTACGTGAAAGCGGGGCGCGGACCAATCACAGCTCGAACACAGACTTCACTCGGCCACCCCCCTCGGCGTTCTTCGGCTGGGGAGGAGGGGAGCCGCTACAGCGCTCCGCACTGTCCATTGACGTCAGCCCCGCCCTCTCCGTAGCCCACCCTCCCCTCACTCCCTCTCTTCCCTTGCCAATAAGCGGAGCGCACGGGATAGGGGTGAAGGTGAGGGTGGGGGTGGGGGGAGGCCTGGGTAGGCTGCCCTTCGGCTGGCCTGGAGGTGGCGCCCCGGCACCGCGCCTGGGAAGGGGAGGGCCTGGGCTTTGTCTATGGGACTGTGTCCTGATGGGGAAGGAATCCTTTGGAATCCGGTTTTATAGCACGCAATTTTCTCTCAGGAAGATGGTTTCTTGTCATTTCTATTAAAGTCTACAAAACGCCTCCCCTCCCTTGTTTTTATTCCCAGTCATCATTTAACAATTTGTCCCTGGCTTGGACAGTGTGTAAAAGTTACCAGGTGCAGCTAGATGGCGCCATAGTGCACAGAGCGTTGGGCTTGGAGTCAGGAGGACTCATCTTTCTGAGTTCAAATCTGCCCTCAGACACTGTGTGACCCTGGGCAAGTCACTTAACCCTCATTGCCTCAGTCCGCTACAGTATCTTTGACAGAAGAAACCCCAAATGGGCTCAAGAAGACTGACACACTGAACAACAAACAAAATTTTCCAAAGTCTCTTTTCTCATGGGAGTGGGGCTGGGGGAAAGGGCCTCCATTGAAGATGATAACCTGGGACCATGTGCACAAAATTAATTTGCTGGTCAAGGAGCCACCTCTATGGCAAGCCCTAGCAATGCAGTGCAATAAACATTAAGTCCTACTATGTGCCAGACAAATGATGGATTCAAAGACAAAGGAAACAATTATTGCCTTCAAGGAGCATACATGAAAGGGGGGGAAATTTTTTTTTTTTGGTTACTTCACTATCTTTAACTTTTATCACAACTACAGGGAAAATTAATATATATACAAGTCATAAACATATTACATTGAGACATATTACAATTACATAATGACACATATTTACATCAAAATAATTTGGGGTCAATGGCCAACCCATTGTACCAATGCCTACGTCAATAAATATTCACAAAGATTAAATTTTTTAGTAAAAATTTCTAAAAGAAACCAAGTCAACTAGTCTAGTAATTCTCATCATGGCACCAAGTGGCAGTCATGATGTCATTTCACAAATATGGTTAAAAACAATTGTATGCATGTATACATATATGTATATAGGCACACATATATTGTGTATATGCATACATGTGTACACACACACACACATACATATATATGTATTTTTATATTTGGAAAGGGACTGCGCAGATGTAACAGGAAGGACTTTTTGTTAATAATAGAACAGGACTTCCAGAGGGCAAGGAAAGGTAAGAAAAAGTAGGGGTGGGACAGATTAGACTGAAGAATGGGTATATGAGGGACCCTTTACAGAGGGGTAGTCAGGGGAGGTAGCATTTGCCTAGGCACTCTACAGCTCAGAATCAAAGGGATTTGGGAGCCACAGGGTAGTAGATTCCCTACCTTTCACAAAAGGACTGATTTATCAGTCTCTGAGAAAGAGGTGGAAAGAGGTGTGTGGCGGTGGTATGTGTGCAGGGGAGTGGGGTGGTGGTGCAGGGGGTGCTGACGTGGACAGGACCAAAGGTAGGAGTCTAATCCTTGGTCTTGCCTGATTATAATAACTAACATGTATTTAGTGCCTACTATGTGCCAGGCATTTTGCTAAGCACTCGATCCTCACAACAGCCCTGCGAGGTAGGTAATGCATGATGTAGTGCCCTGGGCATAGGGGAATACTAAGATAAAAAAAAAAAAAACAGGCATTTACTGCCCTCAAAGAGTTTACATTCTACCTGGTTATTCTGGTGATGAGCCTTTCCTTACTTAGCAATGTAGTAGTGTAGTGTAGTAGATAAAGTGCTAGGCTAAAGTAAGGAAGACTTGAGTTCAAATCCAGCCTCAGATACTTCCTTAGCTGTGTGACCTTGGGCAAGTCATTTAACCCCTGTTTGTTTCAGTTTCCTCAACTATAAAGTGGGAATAATAATCCCATCACTTATTGGTCTTCAGATGATACAGTCCGTTTGTCTTTATATTTTTGTAGGACCTTTCAGAGCTGTACTTTAGTGGAGTTTCAATACTTCAAGGATCCAATTAAAAAAAAAAAAGATGATCCTTCCCCCAGCTTATTTTATTAAGAGATATATGATATATAAAAATCGTGACTATTCTGCAGTAGTATTCTGCATTTCTATTTTGTTGGGGCCATAACAACTCCCATTTCTATAGTTCTCTAAAGTTTGCCAAGAAGTCTTTTCACAATAATACTGTGAAGTGGGCATACAAGGATCATTATTAGTATTCTCACGTCTCTGATGAAACTACCTTTCCTATTGTGAAAGGAGGGCAATCTACTACCCTGTGACTCCCAAATCCCTTTGACTCTGGGTCCCAGAAAACTTCGCCTAGGCAAATGCTCCCTCCCCTGACCACCCCTCTGTACAGGGCCCAACATGTGCCCATTCCTCAGTCTCATCTCTCCAGTGTCCCTACCCTGCTTTTCCTTACTCTTCCATTGTGCCCTCTGAAAGTCCTGTTCTATTATTAACAAAAGGTCCTTCCTATTAGAAGTAACTTGCTCTTCTCAAAGTAAGTAAGCACCTGAGGTAGGCATCTGACTTTTCCCCAAGTCCTACATGCCATCCATATCATCTACCAAGGTTGACTTTTTCTCATGTGCTGCCACGAATGGGAATGGATTCTGTCTTCGGAGCGGGGGTGGGCACGCGGTTCCATCATAGGAGGGAAGTCAGCATGTGATTGCTCTGCTTTTATCTTTCATCCTGTTACCCAGGACCCTCTGATTCCCTGCAATCTCCCAGCATTTTCAATCTTACTCTATAGACACCTTCCCTCCACTGCTCACAAACACAAGGTAGAGTGGAAAGGGCACTGACTCTGTACTCAGAGGGCATGGGTTCAGATTCTGTCTCTAATGCTACCTGCCTCTGTGACTCTGGGTAAGTCACATAATCTTCCTGGATCTCTGTTTCTTTATATACGAAATTAGGGCATTGGAATATAATAACAGCTAGCATTTATATAGAACTTTAAGGTCGGAAAAATGCTTGATTTTTGATCCTCACAACAAGCCTGGGAGGTACATAACATTATTATTTCCATTATACAGATGAAGAAGCTGAGGCTGAGAGAAATTAAGTGACTTGTTCAGAGTCACACAGCAAGTAAGTGTCTAGGACAGTATTTGAACTCAGGTCTTCCTGACTCTGCGTCCAGAGCTCTATCCACTGTACCATCTGGCTGCCTAGATCTATAATCCTATATTCAGGTCTTCTCAAACCTAAACCACCTTTCCTCCCACCTGCATACTCTTCAAGTTACGATCCCATCTCTTCCTTTCACCACCAAATTCCTAGTAAAAATAATTTACACTCCTTTAATGAGAGTCTGACTCATGGGCTTTTCTTCTCTGAGGCCATCTCCATATGGAGAGATTACAACAGCTGAGCAAACTGATGGGGTCTGCACATGGGCCAGACCCGCATTACACTCCACTTCCCCAACAATCATTTTTATATAGGACTTTAAGGTTTATGAATTGCTTTGGTTACAACAATCCACTTTATAGATGAGGAAACAGGCCCAAAGAGGGTATATGACTGGTAACCTGGCTAACGAATGATGAGGCTGGGACTCAAGCCCAAATCCTGTGCCATTTCTACTATATCTCATCTCTCTACTAATTTTTTAATCCTTCACAATCTGGTTTCTATTCCAACCACTCTATAAAAATTGTTCTTTTAAGTCACTGGTGACTTACTCAACAAATCCAAAGGCTTATTCTCAGTCCTCATCCTCCTTAGTCTCTCTGCAGCATGGGGCACTGTCGACCGACGATTCCTTCTTGAAACTCATATTTTCTTTGGCTCTCAGGACAGGGCACCATTTTGGTTTTCCTCTTGCTTTGCTGATCAGTTCTTTTCTGTCACCTTCCCTGGCTTTTCTTCTCTCTTTATATTCTCTCCTCAGGTAACCTTTCCCACTCCCATGACCTCAATGGCCCCATCTGTGTAGATGATTGATTCTCCATCCCCTACTTCTCTTCCTAGCTCCAGACTCAAATTTGCAAACGCCTACTTACCATGCATCAAGCACAGTATGTTTGAAACATCAACTTTCCTCCACACCTGTAGTTCGTCTTAACTTCCTCACAGTCAAAACCCTCCCCAGGATTGTTGTGAGGACTGAATGAGATAATACTTGTAGGATGCTTAGCACTGTGCCTGGCACACAAGTAGGCACTAAATAAATCTTACCTATTATTATCAGGCAAGACCAAGGACTGGACTCCTCCTCTTGGTCCTGTCCACCTCAGCACCCCTCACCCCTGTGCACACACACCACACCACACACTTCTTTCCACCTCTTTCTCAGAGACTGATAAATCAGCCTTACCTTTCCTACTATGAAAGGGGGGGGGGAATCTACTACCCTGTGGCTTCCAAATCCCTTTGATTCTGAGCTGCAGACTGCCTAGGCAAATGCTGCCTCCCCTGATCACCCCTCTGTACAGAGTCCCACATATACCCATTCCTCAGTCTCATCTCTCCACCCTTCCTTCGAACCCTCTACAAGTGATCTTTTTCTCCCTCACTCCTCAACAGATCCCATCACTTATCAAGTCTTCCAAATGCCTTTTCAATCAATTCCTCCTTTTGATTTCTTCTGTTCCCACCTTAGTTCAGTCCCTGCTCATATCTTAGAAGAACTATCAAAATTGTGCTACAAGAGTAGTGCCCTTGTCTCCATTTATGTTGTTAGGCTAATCCACATAATATATAGATCTGAGGACATCACTCTTGCTCGAAAACCTCCAAAGGATCCCCATTCATTACTCATT